GTATATAGTTTTAAATAGTGCTTGCCTTCTTTTGTATGTGAACTAGGATCTTTTTTGATACCTTGATAAGCTTCCAACTTTCTTCTCTGCTCTCAGTATAGTGAAATACATTCACATCCTCTGGTGTGAAGGGTTTTTTCCACCAGGCATAGACTTCCTCATCCTTTTTACCTTGGTATCTTTCCTTGTCTCTTGGTCAGTTTTCCTCTGTTAAGTTTTAGCATATCTACAGTTGCTTAAATAGAGTAGCCTTACAGCATCTCTTTCTTGACTGCATTTTCCTTTGACTCACATTTTGCTTCCAGCATTATTACTTCTCGTTACTCTGCCTTGCCTCCATTTTTGCTTTCTAGTTCTGTCTTTTGCTTGTCTGCTTTTATGAATAGTTCCGTGGGGTTTGTCACTGCAAGGCATGAAAGCAGCATAACTATACTCTTCAGTCTGTATGTTAACTGCATAGCAGCTGCACACTGCCCAGTCACTGGCAGCCTGTGAAAGAGGTGACCTGATTGGTTACTGATTGTGATACCTATCTGTTACTTATATAGTTGTTCTGTAAACTGAAAAGCAAAGTATAGGGGGCTTTATGAAATTACTCTTTGCTAATATAATGTGGCAAATAAATTTGAGCCACAGTGTTAGGAGACTGGTTTTACTTAACCAAACCAGTGTAACTGAAACATGTGCATGCTCGAAGCGTCTTAAGCAAAGATATTAGCACTAAAATCTTGTTAGATATACAGATCACAAAAACCAGTCTAGACCCAGAGACTGTTTTCACTTTGTTTTCCTATTACCTCAGTTATCTGGTAAGGGACAAACAAACAAGAATTAGAAGATTCTGCTTTGACACAAAAAAATAAAATCTAATGAAAATTTAAGAAAATGTGTTTCTGAAGTAGGTAGTTTCCCTACCTCCTTTGCTTATTCTATTCTTTTTATTTGGGTTAAGAAAGAGAGAGGCTGCCAGTGTGGTGGTGCACACCTTTAATCCCAACAGAGGCAGAGGCAGGCAGATCTCTGTCAGTTCAAGGCCAGCCTGGTCTACATAACAAGTTCCAGGCCACCAGGGGCTACAAGGAGACCCTGTCTCAAAAAAAGAAGAAAAATAAAAAGATGAGAGAGGCCAAGAATTCTCAGCTAATTGTATAGTGTTGAAACTTACTTCTTTTGATACTGGATACTGGGTTCTGGTCATTATTCTTGCCTCATTCATTTTCTTCTGGCCTTCAGTCACAGTTTGTTCCATGTGATAAGCTATGAAAAAAAGAGGTGGTCTTATGAAGTTTCTTGTTAGAGATGTTCTTATTCTAGTTACCATGCTGCAAAAGTCAGATCTCTAATACTTTATCTCCAGTAGGGACAGGAACAGTGTTTTGTCTCTCTATCTGATTGGACAAGGAGACCCTCCTCCTGTTCTCCAGGCTCAGAAGTCCTGTAAGCTTTCTAGATTCTGGTAGAACATACTGCCAGTATCAGTTGAAGCTCCCACACTGCTCTACAGTGTTTCTCTGGTATAGTGAAGCCTTTGGCTATCACTGCTACTTTGAAAATCAAAGCCTTTTGGTCTCTAATGGAATGTTTATAAAAATGATCCCATTTTGGAATTTGATCAGGAAAAGGAAGTAATGTTAAATGATATTTAGAAATCCCTCTGGCTTGCCTTGGCATTGCTTCATTTAATATGTACTCTGGAAATATCTGGAGTTAGTATGGAAACGAGAGTATTAAAATCCAAAGATAAATAAGCTCTTATGTTCATTATCTCATGCAAGTATGATATATACATATATATACATATATATCCTTAATTCTTCTATTTAATAACTTGTCTTTTGCTAAATACAGATATCTTGGATACACTAAAAATCCCCTGACCCCTATATCAGAAAACGACGCTATTTGTAGTCCTTTACTAAAGTGAAAGTAGAAGCTTTTTGGATGAAGCCATACTGAATGTTAAGCCTGTAATTAAAAAGTGATACTACATAAATAAAATCTGTAAATAAAAAAGCTATATGGGAGTCTGTTGCTTCCCTTGGTATCAGTGAAAAAAAGAAAAGTGTATGAAATGTTTTAATAACATAGTAACTGTCATAATACATGTAAAAATAAGGACAAAGGACCTTTAGTTTACTTCTCCTGTAGTGTTGGCTGTCTTAAAATGATATATCTTAAAATAGGAGACTGGCATTTCCTCAAGAAATACTTAACAGGGGACTGTTGCACACCAGGAATGACTAGGGTGGAGCAGTGACTACAGACCAGAAGCTCCTTGTCCTCCTGGTGTGCCTATGGTAGTGGAGGACCTAGAAGGCAAATCTGTTCCTGTGGCTTTCTCTATGCCTGTTAGTTTGCCTATTAGCATAGTGAAAAGTGCTCATCACTCCATATTATAAATTTGTGAAGTGTTGAAATGGAACTTTGGGGTACTGGGATCACTAACCTTTCAGAAAACAGCCTGACTCCTTCAGTGAATTCTGCTTACCTGTCCTTATATGTGTTCTGTTGCTGGCATCTGTTGTTAGATCCTGAGGCACTTTAGCTTTTCTTTCAGAAGCCACACACAAAAAAATAAGATTAGGACTAACATTGATATCAACTCAAAAGCCTTTGTTACATCTTTTCAAAATACAGCTAAGAGCCAGGCATGGTGGTGCACGCCTTTAATCCCAGCACTGCGGAGACAGAGGCAGGCAGATCTCTGAGTTCAAGGCCAGCCTGGTCTACATAGGGTGTTCCAGGACAGCTGGGGCTACAGGGAGACCCTGTCTCAAAAAAAAGACCAAAAAAAAAAAAAAAAAAAAAAAAAAACCCAGCTAAGTGGGCTGGGAGATGGCTCCATAAGTAAGGGCTCTTCTTGCATGAGGACCTGAGTCTGGATCCCCAGCACAAGAGACTGAGAAATGCCGAGCTAAAACCTGGAAAAAGAAGCCACTCCTATTTTGGAAGCATTCCTCATTTGCCACTGGTTTCTATGTTCCCAGTGATGTCCTTTGGTACTGTGTCCTTTGCTTCTGTGTTCCCAGTGATATGTCTGATGTACTGTCTAGTGGCATTATTTGATTTTAAGTCATTTGCCGCTTTTCATGTGAGAATATCTGTTGTAAAGTCTGTACTTTAAAAAGAATCTTGGTAAGTAAATGCAAGGCTGTCACTTGCTATTTGCATTAAATAAACATGCTATACAGTTTTTCCATTTAAGAACTTTCAGGTTATTTGATTAATGCAGAGTAGTTTCAATCATGAACTTACAAACATTTTTTGCAGATTCACTCAAAAGTCTTTCACCACCTTTGTAAAGTTCCTTTACAGAACTACAGCTCTGTCAAGTACTACCTTTATTAGCCAAAAAATTTTTTAACAAAAAAACTTCAGTGATTTGCTTACCCAAATGCTCATTGTAGCAAACTTTCTCTTTAAGGTGAAGAGGTTTGTTATGAAGGTTTCTGTTTTTGTCCTACCTATTGGTGTTGTCTTGTGTTTTAGAAGTTGAAGGGAGTATGTTCTCTGGGAGTTGAGTTAATTGCAGTGAGTAGATCAATATTCAGCAGTCCTGTCCTTTAGAGCCCTTTCTATCCTGAGATTTTATGATTCTAAATTTACCTTTGCTCTTGTTTTTTCCTGTCAGTAGCAAGAGAGCAAGGATCAAGACTGAGGAGAAATTGGGCAGGGGCTTAGGAGGTGATGGGCATTAAGTTTCTGTCTAGAACATGTTGTGATTGGTTCTCAGAGATACAGCTGCTGTTGACTCCTTGTGCTTGTTCATATTTTTTAGTACTAATACATTTTCTTGGTTGCAGTTATTATACAACTGCAGTGGGGGTGGGGGGATACACCCAAAGTTAGCAGTTTTTAAAAGATACCCTCTCAGATGCCTTCCTGCCAGCAGACAATCCCTAAATTCTTACAGATAAATTAATATAGAAATTATCACGAAGATGATTAACACTCTGAGGAACTTTAAGGGAGAAAAGGTGTTTTTCATGGTCTCCTAAGGAGCATTTCCTGCAAATTAAATTCTCACTAGTAGTCAGGTGGAATTTAACTTACGTTTTGTGTATCTCAAAGCTGGGATAGTCTTACGTTTGTGTCCCCAGCCCCAAATATACCCCCAACCTCTTCTAACTGCTCAAAAATAGTTTTCCAAACTGAATCCAGTACCCATTCTGACAAAATAATTGGAAAAAAGATACTACCAGGTAAAGAGTGAATTTTTGATGTGTTCTTTCTAGTTATTTTCCAAAATAGTCCCTTTTAGGAAGTGTAAAATGTTTTTATGTGTAGTATACTGGAACCACAAACACTGACTTTGTATTTCAAAGTTGGAAGGAATGAGATTGATGTCCTATATACTTGTAAAATGCCAAAAATAAGGAGAGCTGAAATGAATTAAAGCCCAGTGTTGAGAAAGGCCAAGGAAAAGCTTCCTATCAACAGTGACTGTAATTGAAAGGGTCCAAATAAGTATTTAAAACCACCCCTCCTGAGACTTCTAAGATTTCTGAATTTCAAATTGGCATTTTATGTATGACAAGGTGACATTGTATAAGAAATGTGTTGTAAAACACTGCTGTGCGATTGGAAAATGATTGAATGTAAATATTTCAAGATGTGGACCACTGTTCAAATGTTATCATAAATCTTTGCCATTGTTTTAGGGGATAACTCTTCTTGCATATATGAGCTGACTTGTTAGCTAGCTCTTGGAAAGGAAATCATCATGAATTTCTGCCTTTGTCTCAAACACTAGTCTGACTTTCCACCAGAATGTCCTGTTATATCTTTGCTCTTATCATGTGCTAGGTACATAAGTGGCTGCTCCATTTTTTGAAGAACTACAGCTGGCATTGCTTTTGTTCTAGTCAATAAGTGGTCTGAAATGCCGTTGTTACCTCATTGGTACTATCACTGTTATGTGGACTGGGATGATTTACTCTTAAATTTTGAAAAGAAAACGGCCTGAGCTATATGATTAACCATGGTTCTGTGTTTTTCAGGTTTGGAAGGTTTACAGTCGCTGCTCTTCAGTCCAAAGTAGAGCAGTATGAACGTGAAACCAATCGCCTCAAGAAAGCTCTAGAACGAAGTGATAAATACATAGAGGAACTAGAATCTCAAGTAGCACAACTAAAAAATTCAAACGAAGAAAAGGAAGATGTGAATGTCATTTGCCACAGAGCACCTTCTGTGGACGGCAAGGGGGGCAAAGGCAGTGACGGGGCTGTGGCATCAAAGAGTCAAGGTGACAGTGCCAGGCAGCAGGCTGGCTCAGCAACCTCTGGTTCTTCTCACCTGGCAACCGCTTCTAGCAGCAGACTCTCTGACACAAATTCTGTCAGACAGGAAAGCACCAACAAAACAGAACCACACTGTCCTAAGAACAAAGACCTATACCCCAAGCAGGTAGAAATTATGTTAGATGTGACAGATACGAGTATGGATACTTATTTGGAAGGAGAGTGGGGTAATAAACCAAGTGACTGCGTACCCTACAAAGATGAAGAGCTTTATGATCTCCCAGCTCCATGTACTCCTTTGTCCCTTAGTTGCCTTCAACTAAATACTCCAGAAAATCGAGAGAGCTCTGTAATCAAAGCAGGAAATTCCAAAAAGCACCCAAACCATCTCAGAAAATTGGTGTTTGATGATTTTTGTGACTCTCCAAATGCTTGTAATAACAATTCTCCAGAGGATGGTGTGAGTAGAGGTGAGAATGAAAAGAAATCAGAATGTTCTGCTTCCCCAAAGACAGGATTTTGGGATTGTTGCTCCACAAGCTATGCCCAAAGCTTGGAGTTTGAAAATTCAGAGGGAAACACAATGGCAAATTCTGATGGGGAAATATCTTCAAAATCGAGTGAGAAATCAGGTTCATGTTTATCCAAGAGACTGAATTGTATTCGCTCTCTCGAAATGAACCGGACCAGAACATCCAGTGAAGCATCGATGGATGCTGCTTACCTTGACAAAATCTCTGAGCTGGATTCAATGATGTCAGAGTCAGACAATAGCAAGAGCCCTTGTAGCAATGGTTTTAAGTCAGTGGAATTGGAGGGTTTATCAAAGTCCTCTCAAGGCAGTGAATTTCTAGAGGACCCTGATAAGTTGGAAGAAAGAACTAATCTGAGTCTTTCCAAAAGTTCCTTAACTGCTGATCAGTTAGAAGATGGAAGTGAATGGAAACCCACTTCTTTTTTTCTCCTCTCTCCATCTGACCAAGAGATGAATGATGATTTTTCTCTCCATCCCACATCTAATTCAGGGACTAATGAAATCAAACCCCCAAGCTGCTTGTTTCAGACTGAGTTTTCCCAGGGTGTTTTGTTAAGCAGTTCACATCGACTATTTGAAGATCAAAGATTTGGATCATCTTTATTTAAGATGTCTTCAGAGATGCAGAGCCTTCACAACCACCTTCAGTCTCCTTGGTCTACTTCCTTTGTGCCTGAAAAGAGGAATAAAAATGTGAATCAGTCAACAAAAAGAAAAATACAGAGTAGTCTTTCCAATGCCAGCCCATCAAAAGCAACTAAAAGTTGAATTGTGGGGGAAGTGTCATTTGTGGGTTTGTCCTTAAAGGGTTTTTAATGTTACTTTATTCATTTCATAAAAGCTCAATCCAATGCTGGACATGGTAGCACGCCTTTAATCCCAGCACTTGGGAGGCAGAGGCAGGCGAATCTCTGCATTCAAGGCCAACCTGGTCTGCATAGCTAGTTCCAAGCCAGCTGGGGCTATAGGAGGGAGTCCCTGTCTCAAAAAGACCAAAAAAAAAAAAAAAAAAAAAGTTGAATCCAATCTTGAATTGATCATCTTCAGTCATGTCAAGCCCGAATGCTGGGTTAAACCTGTTCCTAGGGCACTCATTTCACCTTGAAGAAAACCTTGGTCTCTTTTAGAGATCTTTTTGACCAGAGAAAGCAGGGAGAAGTTTTGGGGTGTTTGTTTTAATGAATGTTGTATGTTTCTTGTTTGAGTGTATTTTGTTTTCTCAAACCTTATTTAACTATTAGATATAGTGTCCTGTTAAGGCTCAACTGTCTTCAGAACTTGTATTTCTTAAATAAAACAGTATTGTTTGTACAGCACTCATACTTGAGTTTCTTTAAAGCTGTTCCTAGAGTGGAAATTATGTTGTCTGTCCCTATGTTATTTATGTTTAGTCGTGGCCTAACTGTTATGCGAGGCCATGGTGGAGAAATAGCACTCTGACCTTAATTCAATATTCACTTAATTTTTCTTAGGTTTTTATATTGATGTTTACATCTTCTAGCATTGTGCTCTGTCCATATTTTGTGAACTTGTTGAGCTAGTATGAAATAACTCACTTTTTGTATAAAAATACTCACTTTATGCCAGGTGGTTTATATTGGCTCATCTTTGTAGGTATGTGTGTGTATAAAATTAGAAAATGATTAGACTTTGGAAGGAAGGCATGGTTGGGTTTGGAAAAGTTTAAACATCCTAGCTTCATTTCCCAGGTGAGTAGGAAAAAGCACTCTTTGTTGAGTCCTTGAGCCACTCCTCCTTTTTGGTGGATACAGTTCCTGTTTGCATGTTACTAATTCTTTGTGGAATCTATGTGCATGATAGCATTTTTGCTTGCTCCATTTTCCATCCTAAAGAAAAGGAAGTTTCTATGGCTAATAGAATGTTATCTAAGACAAACTTCTCATGAAAAGTAATAAGTGAGGGTGGGGATAGGTAAGCATTAAGCACAATTTTTAGTTTAGGCTTTAAAAAGTATATTCTAAACATGTTTGGTATGCCTGTATTTGGTATGCCTATATAGGCCTTAAATGTGGGTCTGTATGCTAATGACTTGTTTAATGTGCACTGAACATTTTCATGTACTGTTTTACCTTGATACTGCATGTTTTTCTATGTGAATTCAATAAAGGATGCTATATGCAGTGTGTGTCTTTGATGTTATCTCAGATAATGAATTTGCCTCTAAAGACATAGAAAAATATATTAGTTTTAATTCATTTTATAATATAGCAGTTGACCAACTATGAACCAAATCTGATCTGTACCTGTTTGTTTTTGTGGTGCTGAAGCTGGAAGCCAGGCCCTTGCAAACACTAGGCAAGTGCTGTAGCTTGGAGGCGATTTTTTTTAAAAAACCCTGTGAGCAAAACCTGTTTTCGTGTCCTCACATGTTTTTTTAATACAGAGAATAATACCTTCTGACACAAGAAAATGATATGAAATTGAAATTTTCATGTTTCTAAATAAAATCTTACTAAAATGCTGTCACATTTGCTCACACACTATCTCTGCCTGTGTCTGCTTTTACATAGGAGCAGCACATCTGAACAGTTCCAACAGACACTGGCTCACAGAGCCTAAAATATGTGCTGTCTGGCCTTTTACAGAAGAATTTGCTGACCCTTGTTATAATGACTCTGAGGATTCAACGAAACCATAAAAATACAACAAATCACTTTTATGGTCTAGAGAATCATGCTCTCCACTTTTAGAAGTAATAATAGCCAGGAGAAAAGCTAACAGAAGGATAATATTTGTTTTATCATACATATTTTCCAATAATTCATTATTTTATCTTTGCCATGGTAAAACTAATGGATATTTTCAGAGCCAGTAGCAATTTAAATACTCTTGATACAGTTAAATATTTTGGATTCATGTAGAAATTAAGGTTTCTGTCATGGTAAATTTAAGAGTGCTATGGTGATGTATGTATCCCCCAAAATGCATATGTTGAAATCTTTTCCCCCACAATAGTGATATTAAAAGGTGGACCCTTGGGGAAGTGATTAGGTCATAAGGGCAGAATCCTGTGGAGTGGATTAATATCTTTGTAGGCAAGGCCAAGGGAGACCAGTGAGCTTCCTCGCCCATTCTACCATGTGATGTAGCTAGTAGCCCCCATCTTGGAACAAAACTTCAGCACATACCGTATCTTTTGGTGCTTTGAGTCCAGACTTTCCAGCCTCCAGAACTGAGAAATTTTTACTGAATTATATTGTTAAAACAGCACAAATGGGCTAAGATAAAGGAGTAAGCCTTGCAAATTCTGTAAGAATGTGCCATTTAAAATATATATTTTTTAATGACCAACTGTTTATTTTTATGTATATGAGTGTATTGCCTGCATGTGTATGAGTGTGCCCATGCCATGCAATGTCACGGAGGTCAGAAGAGGGCTTCAGATTCCCCTGGAACTGGAGTTAAGGATGGTTAGTAGCCACCATGTGGGTGCTGGGAATCGAACCTGGGTCCTCTGCAAGAGCAGTCAATGCTCTTAACCACTGAGCCATCTCTCCAGCCCCTAAAGTATATTTTTATATTATGCATATGAGTTATTACCTGCTTGTATGTAAGTGCATCTGTGTTGTGCAGTGCCTGAGTAGGTCAGAAGAGTGCATTGGAGCCCCTGGAACTGAGAGTTGTGATGATTGTTAGCCACCATGGGGGTGCTGGGAACCGACCCTTGGTCTTCTGCAAGAGCAGCTGGTGCTCTTTGGCTGAGCCAGCTCTCCAGCCCCCAATGTGTTCGTTTTTAATCCTAATGCCACTCTACCATGGAAATTGGAATTTGTAGCCTGATTTACCAGTGACTACCCTGGGTGAGTGTACCTTACTTGGGTCAGAGTGTTTCTAGTTGCTTACCTTCAAAAGCATTCTTTCCTCCGCCTTAAAACACTATTTCACACAAGTGTAAAATTAAATCCATGCTATTTCTCCTCCAAAAAGAATACTTGGGCAAGATTTTATTTTTTTTAATATTTTATTATTTTTATTTTATGTGTATGTGTGTATTGCCTGCATGTAGGTAAGTGTACCCATGTCGTGCAATGCCCGTGGAGGACAGAGAGGCTGTCGGATCCCCTGGAACTGGAGTTGTTAGCTGCCATGTGGGTGCTAGGATTCGAACCCGGGTCTTCTGCAAGAACAACCAGTGTTCTTAACCACAGAGCCATCTCTCCAGCCCCAAGATTTTATTTTAACCACATTCTTATTCTCGTTATCTGTTGTCATGACAAATATGATAGCCTCATAAATCTCAAATATACCTATTGTGTGCCCTCCAAACAAAACACTATTGATTGCTGGGAATATAGCTCAATTGGAAGAGTTGCACAGAGGCCTGCATTTTATCCTCATGAAATGTAACCTATGTAACACAGTGTGGTGGAGTACACCTCTAACCCCAGCACTTGGGAGGTGAAAACAGGATGATGAGAAGTTTCAAAGTTGGGCTGGAGAGGCACCTGGATTCAGTTCCCAGCACCTGCATGGTGGCTAACAACCAACTTCAGTTCCAGGGGATCTGATGCTGCCTTTTGGCCTCCATGGATATTGCAGGATATAAGTGAACTTACATTCAAGTAAAACATTTATATACTTTTTTTTTTTTTTAAGTTTCATAGAAGTTCAGTCATCCTCAGCCACATACCAAGTTGTAGACCAGTCTGGGGTACACGAGACCCTGACTTAAAAACACTTGAGACCAAATATTTTGCCAGTCTGTATCACATCTTCCAATCCTATGAGATATGTAGTATTAGCCCCAATTTGTAGAAAACCAAACAGGATTGGCAATCTTACTGCTGGAATGGAGTAGGACCCCCTCAGGTGGGTATCTTCCTCTCCCACATCTGAGTTCCCATTTGTACAGAAAAGAATGAATGTATTTGGAATTTCTCAAGGATTCTTTTCAAGGTATTTTGGGAGTATTTGTGGGTTTCTGAAGTAGTATTCAATTCCTGCCTGTTCCAATGCTGAGTCGTGTGTGTACCAGTTCTAGGCTTTAGGGTTCACATTAGGGTGTTCCAGAATCAGCTAACACAAAACCTGAAAATAGACAAGATTTACAGGTCCTTAGTTTCGAATCTGCTTTGCTTTCTTCTTTTTGTTATCTGTGTTGACTTGAAACAAAGATAGGACTGAACAAGAAAAGACCTTGGTCTTGGGCTACAGGATGCTTTTACAGACTAAAATGCTTTCTAGTAATTAAAAGTGTAATATATACAGGAGATTTTTTTCCTCATTTTGTATATGTGTGGATGGTATTTTATAGAGCATCAAGCTGAAATTTAACAGTTCATAGGTAGAAGAGCTTTTCAAAGCCTCATGGAAGGTCTTTCCTCTTTGAGGGAGCCCTACCATATAGCCCTTGCCTATCATGAAGTAACCTGATCCCTTTAATAATACTTGGCAGAGACAAAACCTTTTAAGCAATGATCTCAGTGTGCATAGTGAACATTTATTACCTAATTCTCGGAACCCCACTCACAGAGAGGAAGCATCTATTAAGGTGCTGATTTCTTTTAAGAATCCATCTGGAGCACAGGCTAGGGTGCTCTTCAGTTTTGTGTGATTGAAGCAGTCTAGAACACCTTAAGTTGCATATATATCTTTCATATAAGGTCTGTGGTGTCTTAATAAGGGAGAGTGGGTTCGCTTTAATAAAGATTAGCTGAATTAAACAAAGTGAAGACTGTGTTTATGAGTTAAGGGTGCAAAGACACCCCCCCCCAAAGCAAATAGTTGCCGAGGATGTTTACTAAAACTCAATGTGGGGAGAGGATATAATTTTGGTCTTTTGATTCTTAAAACATTGTGGAATAGTGAGGAAACTCTAGCGGCTTCTGGGAGGTATTTTTCTTATTGGGTCTTGAAGGGTGAGTAAGAGTTCAGAGCTGAAGTGAACATCTCTTCTGCGCATCTGAATTTGTTTTGTTTTTTTTAAACCGGGGTGGAGGGGCGGTGTGCGGATTTAGCAGCGTCTTTGAAGATTTGCTGAAGGAGCCATGTACTAAAGTCAAGGCTCGAACTATTTTCCAGTTTCCCGTATTGCTACAGCCACAGCTTGCAAGTTGAGCTTTGCTCCGCCTCCCGTCTGTCCCGGGAGACTCCGGGTCTTGCTCTTGTGGCCAGGACCGGCGGCCTGGTGGCGAGACAGTAGCTCCCTGGGCGCTGGAAGGCTTAGGAGGTGGCGGGGCCGGCTCATCAACTGTCCATTAAGCCGAGGCTTGGCCCTCGGAGGGCTTGGAGGTCATCTTAGTGTTTAGGGTGAGGAGATGGGGTCTGGCCCGCCCGCCAGCACTGGCTAAGTCCCCTTCCCTCCCTCGGATCCTGGGAACACCTTCCTGCCAGCTTCCCCTCCATCCTTCGTCCCCCACTTCCCAGTCTCAAGGGAGGACCCACCCCAGGTCCCTCCAGCCTGTTTCCCGCGCTCTTGAGGGCGCTTTCGGCTAGTTCAGCTCAGGCTGCACTCCAACAGCCGGCTCTGTGGTTTCCTTCCATTTTATTACCACTCTCAAAACCTGGCGATTAAGACGCGAAACCAACAAAGAGTTTTCTTTCCACCTTAACCTTGCATACAATCCTTTAACAAATTAATTAATCCTAATGAATTAACACTTCATTTATTTAAACGCGCTACAGTCCATGAATTAAATTTTCATGCAGTGATTAAAGGCTGTTAAAATATGCATGATTTCGTTAAAATTTTATAATAAATCAGGGCAATGTGTTACATGACAAGGCAACTATTTCCCAGTCCCTCGCAAGGGGCTTTGATTTGTGCGGGCGGCTGGGAGGAGGGGCGACTGGCGGCGGGGCCAGCGAGCGGTGGAGCCCAGCTACTGGACCCAGTTCCGCACTCCCGGGGTTGGACTCGCTGCCGCGCGGTTTCCTCCGTGGCTTCCAGACCCTCGAGGGACCGGCTCCTGGAGGCTGAGCAGAGCCAGCGGAGGTGGGCAGGCGCCCTCTCCATCCTTGGAACTTCCCTGGGGCGGGTCCTCCACGGTCAGTCCTCTCTTGCAGCGCGCCAGTAAGCAGGGCGAGCTTGTGTCAGGGACCCAGCGGCCGGCTGGCGGCTGTCTAGAGAAGCCGACAGAACTTCATTTTGTCGCGTGGGGTCACGGGCCAGCTTATCTGTGGACGAGTTTTGTCTGTCGTTATTTTAACCCGGGACATGGATGCCCCTTCTCTGACCAGCGCGCTCCTCCAGCCTTGAATCCGGAGAGTGCTTCCTTGGGCCCCTAAATCACAGGGGTCGGTGGCCATGTCAAGGGAACAACAGTGATCACTTGGGCTTCGAAAGTAATACTGCCAACTGGTAGGCAGGGAAGGCCGAGACCTGGTGTGGGGTGCTTGCTGTCAGTCCCCTCCGGGAGGGTTTCACGAGGTAGGTCGGTTTGGTGAGAGATTAGGGTGGAGAGATGTGCAAATCTGCATCTAAGGTATCCAATGCCAAGAGCTGGGTGGCCAGCAATGAACTTGTCAGGGACACTCCATCCGGGTCGCAAGGTCATCAATGGTATCTTCGGGTGGGGACCCATATCCAGGAAAATGTCCCCAAAGGAAGTTACATTTGCGTTAAACCACTAGAAGAAAGAAAAACAGGATTTTCCACCGGTTCACTTGAGAATTTTCTCTGCTGGTTCTAGCTACAGCCCAGTCCGCTTGCCGGAGCTGGTTGCTTAGAAGAGAGGATCCTGTTGGGCCACGCCTCACCCACCTAGACCTGGGAGGCCAAGGGAGGAGAAGGCCCGGGTGCGAGACAGTGTGGAATAGGGAATACGGATAGTGGCTTCCAGGAAGTTTCGAAGCCCTAGGGATGGAGAGGCCGTTTGCTGAGTCCAGCTTAAGGCTGTGCTGGGTCTCCGCTGGCCGCACAGATCATGGCACACAGCTGGGTAGGTGCCTCAGCGGCCCGGATACCAGAGAAGGTCCTGAACCCCGAACCCAGTGGCCACCATCCCCGTGGTGGGACCAGGCTGGGATGTGCAAGGAGAAACTAAGAGACTAGAAATCAAAGCAGGTCAGGCACAGACCAGGGGAGGTGTCCAGCCCTCCCCAGGCCATACCAGTCCCTCCTCAGCATACATTGTAGACAGTCCAAGTGAGTCTGCTGTTACACCTCAAACCCTACCCTAAGCCTGCATCTCCCCTACCTGAACCTTCACACTGTGCTGAGTGGCCTCTAAAGCTGGAGGTCTTGGGCCTTGGTTTGCTCATGAAAGTTGGGCTCTCTGACCCTGGAAAAAATGTCTCATTTCAACAGGGCAGTGCCTGTGGATAGGGTCTCCCAGACTCTGTGAACCACCTCCTCAGCCACCAGGGTCTTGGCAGCACCTCCTGGAGGTGGGGCACAATCCCCCAAGAGTCTGGGGTGTGACCCCTTACTCAGGTATTCTCTTAATGCCCACACACTTTTATGTTGGCATTCCCCACAGGGAACTCCCAGTACTTAAACCAGGACAAACAATTCCGATTCAGCTGGGGATGTGGAGGAGAGTAAAAGCTCTTTTCTACTTTCCATTGGAGGGAGAAATCCAGTATCTAGATGAGCAGCATTGGTCAGGCATGTCCTCCTGAGAGGAGGGTGGTGGCAAGGTGAGGAGAATTCACTCCAGACAGGACTAACCCTTTCAGGGGTCCTCACTACAATGAAATAACATCTACACCCTATCTTGGTAAAGGGGGCACTGCCAAAAGAAATGTAAAGCGAAGAGCCTGCCAAAGGGGGAGGAGAAAATTAATTAATGAGGGAAAGAAATGTGTCTCTGATCCAGATGATAGACTCCCTTTCCCTGGGGATGGAAAATCCTTGGAAATCAATAGCTATGCATTCATTACCCATCTCTTGATAAAATGCAGAGCTCTGAAATAGGGTGTGAGTGGAAGGGGGGTTGCTGAATCTGTGTTGGTCATTAAACAAGAAGAAAGTGGGGGAAAATTGCCCAGGAATCTATGCCAAGGCTCAGACCCCATGTGGGCATCATTAGCACAGGCGGGGGCCAACTAGATACAGCAGTTGCTGAGCCAGGAAAACAAAGCGGTGACATATGGGAGCTGAGTATAGGCCGACCACCCTTTCCTTTTACCCATCATAAGGAAGTTTCTCACAGTAGCCTGGGGTGGAGGCCCTGCAGTGCTGAGCAAGGTAGTTCTCCAAGCATCACCTTGTAAAAGACACTCTCATCACACCTGCTATACTTGTACCACACATACCTTTCCTGTGGCTTCCCCATGCTTGTAGATTGTCACCTCCTGAAGGGCAAGTACTGGTAATTTATACCTCCTTTTATCTCCAGTGACCTGGACCAGGGCTAAGCAAACATTTAAGGAACAAAGATAAAGGAGCAAGTAAGGGGCTTCTGCAAAAGAATAGACACATCTGCCTAGGGCAAACATACCCCTCCTGCCCAGGTTCCACCTCTGTCTTAGGGAGATTCCCTTCACAGAGCTTCTTGAAAGACCCAGTCATCCCTAGCCTATTGAACCCTCAGTGCCCTTTTCTCCTGTCACTGGTTGGTTACTGACCTCTCTTTTCTAAGCACAAGTATTGTCTGGTAAAGCTCTGTTACAAGTGTCATGGTGGCCTAGATGGCCTTCCAATTCATGCCGGAAGGAAAAGGAATATTGCACTCACACCCCTTCCTTACATTTCTAGCCACAGCAAAACGGGAGGCGTTCTTCCCGGGTAGAAGTCCTGCCTTACTCAGAGAAAGAAAAGTATTCATGTTGCCAAAGAGAAGTGAGCTGAGAAGCTCCTCACTTCAGACTACTGCACCTCTAGGCTGGATCCAGAAGTCTCCTGGGGTCAGAAGGGTGAACCAAGGTTCGCTTGGACTTCCTCCTCTTTATGCGCCCCACCTCCACCCCAGACTCCATCTGGCCACATATCTAGTGTTTGCCTTTCTGTGGGTCTTGTACCATTTAAGGTCCCTAGGGGCAAGCATTTTCCAGGGATGCGGAGTGCAAGCTGCTGGTGCTTGCTCCTGGGGAGGTTGGAAGAGGATGTCTTAACGCCCCACAGGAGAGCGCTGGGGATCCAGTGCAAAGGGTGTCAGGAAGGATTAAGTTAAGCCTGGACACCCAGTGCAACAGCAACCTTAGGACTCATTCTTTCCCTCCAGTGATGTCCTGCTCTAGGTCCATTCCCCACCGAGATAAAGTTGCATTTAGCACTCCCAGGGGAACACGTAATGGATGGAGACAGGGCTCCTTCTTACACCAGCAAATGAACATCCTTCTCAGTTCCCTCTCAGGCTAGAAGAAAGGGAGGGGTTGGGAGAATGGAAAAGGAGAGAAAATAAAGAAAAAAAACCATGGTGATGCCTGTGAGCTCTTCTTGGAATCTAAACAGGCGAGTGGGCATACTAAAGGCACTTTCCTTTGTAAAGCAAAAGAAGAATAAAATCTGCATGAAGGCAGATTGAGGTTTACAGAGATGAGATCTGCCCTTTGGTGGAAATGAAGACCTCCTTGTTTCGAGAGTGACCTGGATGATTACCTGATCTCTGCTTCCCCAAAGCAGTCCTTGAAGCTCTCCAGCTCTTGCAGCAGATGTGATAACATGTGGGCCATTATTATCACCCTAGGCAAGGCACTGCAGCCCTAGGGACTCAGGCACCCGAGCTGGGGCTACTCAGGAAGGCCCTTGATCTTCCTGCCACATGAGAGCTATGTAACAGGTCAGTCAGTTGATTGCTTCTTTTTAGATCTTGATTTCACAGCATTCTTTTTAATTAAAGACTGGACCACATTGTGTGCCCGTTCTTTCAAGCTAATTTAATATTTGAGTCGCGATTTCCTATAGATTAGCTTCATCTTGTATCCTAAGGAAGAAACAATATACACAAGCCAAGTAGAGATAAAAGGCAAGGAGCCAAAACGATGGAAAAGAAAGTTCTCTTGTAAACATCTTATTCTCTTTTCTCTGAAGTGGTTGTCTTTTCCTGGAGTTTTCAGCACTAAGTGTGTGTGTGTGTGTGTGTGTGTGTGTGTGTGTGTGTGTGTGTGTATCGCTGGGAAGAGGAAAAGATCCCAACTACACCCTGTTAACTGTTTTTCCCTTTTGATTACTAGAAGCCTCAGATCATCCAGAGCTCGTTTGAAAAGTGAGTTTGTACATGGTTAAAGGAGACAAACAATAAGAGAAATGCACAATTTCATCTCAACAGTCTTTGCTGAGTAGAAAGCACACGCTCCTTTTGGCTCCTAAGTGGCTGTCACTGGTGGTGCCTGACACAGTTATATTCACAACAACAACAAAGTATGCAGAGAAATTAAATTATGTGGAAATCAATAGCGTCTGACTGCTTCAAACAAATGTCTGTCACTGCTATTATTCTCCAGGAACCTATTTATAAACCTTGAAAGAAACAGGTTCTTACAGCAAAAGACAGCACCTTCCACATTGCATTTCTGTGTTATTTTTTTCTGTATACTGAAGAATGCATGGGCATAATTTAACATACAAATGCCCATCTGTATACATTATATAACAGCTTGTTAGGCAGCGGAGAGAGGTGTGCCTAAGTAATGCGCATATATTCAGGGTTTGAGATGGGAGGGGGGAAGGTACACATTGAGAGAAGTCTCCCTCCAAAAGGTGCCTACCCTTAGACAATAGCTGCCCCTTCTGAGCTTTGCAGACCCGCGGTGGAAAGGTGAGGCGTGCAGTGCGCATGCCCTGGCAGCTACAGGTGCATCACCTGCGTTGTCCTTGCTGGTGGTCACTATAAGAGTTGCTCCCAAGCGCAGCCGGTCGCGGTCCGACGAGCGCGCGCTCGCGCGCAGATGCACGGCGCCGCAGAAAGGCAGAGCGCGCGCCAGACAGACGGAGACAGCTGATGCCTGTCACCGCGACCGGGCCGGGAGCTCTCGCGATAACTCCCCCGGCCGGCCGCGAGAAGTGGGGCTCAGGTGTAAGAGGAGTGCATCCCATCGGCGCGCAAAGCTAGATCTCTTGGAGAAGTGGCACCGCGAGACCGGCGCGCGGGCGCTCTGTTCGGTTCAGGGCAGCGGCCGGCCGGCGGCAGCAGGAACAACTAGCAGCAGCCCCGCGGCCAGCCCACCGCCAGCCGCCGACGGCCGCCGGGGCTGCAGCTTCGGAAGGGAGGTCGGGGAGCCGGCGTGCGTACTTTCCCGCGGACTTTCCGAGTGTTTGTGGATTTACATGCCAAGCAGTCAAGATGATGTCCATGAACAGCAAGCAGCCTCACTTTGCCATGCATCCCACCCTCCCAGAGCACAAGTACCCGTCGCTGCACTCCAGCTCCGAGGCCATCCGGCGGGCCTGCCTGCCCACGCCGCCGGTAAGCGCCCCACGCCGCGGCCCCGGCCCGCGCGCCCCCTCCCCCTCTCGGAGATGCTGCATGTCGGGTGCTGAGTGTGCACGTCCGGGTCCAGCATTTGTGGGCGCGAGTTTTTAGCTGAATCCCGCTGTGGGGCACGTTGTGTCCAGGGGAGCTTAATGTCGCGTTCCTGTCTGCCTGTGCCTCGGTCCAGCGCCTGTGACCAGTGGGGAGTTCGGGGCTGTGACTCTCGACTTTCCTCCACTTTCCTCTGTTAATTTCACGCCTGGACAAGGCGGTCTCTGTGCGTGCTCGGGTGTGTGACACGGGTTCCTACCTGCGAGTTTACATCTCCATTTCTTCTTCTTTTCGCCCTCCTTTTTTTCTTCTCCCACGCCCTTTCCCCCTGTGTGTCCCTGTGTGCCCCGCTGTTCTTCTCCAACCCTCGCCATGTCCGGTCCCTTCTCTTCTGTTGCCCCTGCTTGCTCCCACGTATTTCCCTGTCCGTCTTTCCCACCCCCTGTTGTTATTTTGGTTGCTTTGTGTTTGCTTTTTGCTTGTGCTTTCCGGCTTGTGTGTGGTTTTTTTGTTTGTTTGTTTTTGGTTTTGTGGTTTCTTTTTTGGTTTGGTTTGTGTCGCCTGCAGCTGCAGAGCAACCTCTTCGCCAGCCTGGATGAGACGCTGCTGGCGCGGGCCGAGGCGCTGGCGGCCGTGGACATCGCGGTGTCCCAGGGCAAGAGCCACCCTTTCAAGCCGGATGCCACATACCACACGATGAACAGCGTGCCATGCACGTCCACGTCCACCGTGCCGCTGGCGCACCACCACCACCACCACCACCACCACCAGGCGCTTGAGCCGGGCGATCTGCTGGACCACATCTCGTCGCCGTCGCTCGCGCTCATGGCCGGCGCGGGTGGCGCGGGCGCGGCGGGCGGTGGCGGAGGCGCCCACGACGGCCCC